CCTCTGTCGGTTTCGGCACACCACAACCGACTAATTCCAACTAATTGATATGTTATTATATGCTATGTTTCCATATACGGCTATATTGCCACGACCACAAATATATATATATATATATATATATATATATATATATGATAAATCATATAATCCCAGGATTTCATGCTAATTATTAATCACTGAGAACACTTTAAAAACACAAATATTTGTTTTAACAATCTCGCAGAGTTTATTGGAATAAGCAATGAAACATTTGATTTCTAAAGGAACAAGACAGGAATATATAAATTAATCCTTTCTAAGAAAATATTAACCTTTCCTGGCCATATCCATGGCAGCACAACAATGGGTTAGTTCCTCTCTATCCCTAATTAGACAGGAACAGAATTAAAATGGAGGTATAAATACCCCCTCCCACCACCACTCCCTCAGTCTTTTTGTTCCTGTACTATCCCTATAGGACTCTAGTCATTATAGACTAGAACATTTTTACTTTTTGGCTTGCCTGAGGGTTTTTACCTTCGGCCCCAAGGGAGTTCAGCCTGTGGGTCTCTATGGAGGGGAACATCTGTCAAATGCTACTCAGACAACTAGGCAGCATATGACATTATAAATAAAGGTTGGTCCTCCTCACTAACAATAATGAGCTTATTTAGGACATTGATTTGGCTGGCATAAACACAGCAATCTTTCCTTGTCCGTATACACATACCAGGCCAGAAGCTGAAACCTTCTCTCAATCACAATTTCAGATAATCTTCCAAGCACCTGCCATGGCTGTCAAAAGACCTACCAAAACCACGACATTTCAGGACCTCATACTCTATTAGCTCATCTCATACGCACGGTAGATTGCTGGCACACGCATAACTCTCAACCAACCAACCATTCATATACTGGAGTTTGAAACATTTTCAACAAATTCACTTCAGAATTTCTAATCGTTAATCCATACTCAATTGATACCATGGTGGTGTTCACATCCTTTTGCTACTGCAACCTTAAATTAGCTCACAACACCATAAAACTACTTGGATACAACCTTCAACATTTCTAGATCATTCTTTTCAAATAGCCACTGCTTCTGCAGTGTCTAGCGTAATATCACAGTACACATCATCGATGTCTGGGACTGGGGAGATCATCTGCATACACTAGATGCATTCCTCAACTGAAGAGGAAATTTAGGAAGGCATTTAAAGTATTGGTTATGTAATGAGGTAGCGGACCACAGGTAACCCGGCTGGTTACCTCCTCTAATTTCTTCTCTCAGCCAATCTGGGACCATTAAAACAAGCAGACATCCATTCCCCCAGTAACCAGATAAAACATAGTTCTGGGAGTCAACTGATTTATTTCAGGCCACAAACGGGGTCTCCAACACAATAACACATGGTTTTCATTCCCAGGATCATTTGTGCCTGAGCGATAATTGAGAAACACCTATAATTCAATTATCTCTCAGGTACAAAAAATATATACAAAATATACAGTACCCCAAAAGTACCCCCACCATAACTAGGAACTCCACAAAAGTTATATTCTTGGAAAGCCCTGATCTGAGTGTATAACATATGCAAATATCACTCAGATCGGTTTGGTGAAACTGGGTAAAGTTTTGACCGGTCTCTGTTCGGGGGTTCCTGTGCGAACACCATGCATGGGATTCTCTTAATTTCAGGGTCGAGAAGTAGAACGGACAGCAGTCTAATCTTTACCATGAAAGATTAGGTGTACACTCAGTATTGGAAATTAATTATAAAAACCACCACTGGTGTGCATATGGAGTGCTTACAAATTTGTTGACTCACCCATCTGGGTTAACATACATATGTATGGAAAACGTGACTCATAGAGATATATCTGAAACAAATGTAAATGCAAGAAATAGTGCAGATAACGTTTTCAATAAGTGCAGTGAGGGAATATTCTATATGGTCTCACTCACATGTAGCAGAGCCCTATAGGATACAATGTCTATTTGACATTGTACATTGGGATTGACCGCACTAGGGGTTCTCCTCTTCCCCTTGTTCTCTCTCTCTCATGTATGCATAAGGATCTCCAGACGCCTAGAGGACCGATTGGGTACTGTGTCACCATAAGCACACGCAGGCCATTGAGATCTGAGCCTGTAACCGCTGGTGGTTCCCTTATTTACCACTATAATGTCTTAAAGCATAGAACTTAGTAGGGCTAACCATACAGATATCTTAGCCATAATTTGATATAGTGTAAGAGATCCTCTATTTAACATATATAAATAATTGAGAATACAATATAAAATAAGGATTGTCTTGGAAGCAATCGTTTTGTCTTTTGGATATTTATTATATAAAAATATAAAATCCATTATAGCAGAGTTTATAAGATTAAATTACATGCTTGCAAATATCATTAATAGGTTAACATACCCTTCTGAACATGTCATCATGTCAGCCTCTCTGTCATTTTAAGATGGAGCAGCATCTGTCTCCAAGTCTCTCCTCTCTGTCTTAACATTTAAAAGTACACCTATTTATACCTTAGGTGTCTCCATTTTAGGTTACTGTAGTTCAAATATGAAAAAGTAACACTTCTTTTACTTTATTTATTTTAGGACCTCCCTGAATTTGGCAAACATACAAGGCCCTAACTAAAGGGTGTATACGTCATGGAAATTTTCCTGACTTAGTTCAAGATGGCATCTTAAAGTCTGAATAGGTTATCTGTTGTTTATACTAAGTCGTAAGTGTACAGTCGTGGGAGATTCCCGGATTTGGGGAAGTTCCAATAACTTGGGGTTACCACAGTATATTGTGTACTGCAAGAGTCGTAGTATAGCCTTGAAGCTTGTTTATGCATTATTGTTATTGTAATTCGTCTGGGACAAAATGGCGCAAACATATTATGCACTGAGGTTATTGCTTAAAGAAACAGTTATGAAAAACAATATATTCCATTTCTAACACCTTGACAGTTTGCAATATCTCTTAAAGACAAAGTACACAGTTTAAGAAATACAACATTTCATTCTAAAACTTGTAATATTTGCATTTGCCCGTAACAAGCCTATCCTATAGGGCTCTGCTACATGTGAGTGAGACCATATAGAATATTCCCTCACTGAACTTATTGAAAACGTTATCTGCACTATTTCTTGCATTTACATTTGTTTCAGATATATCGCTATGAGTCACGTTTTCCATACATATGTATGTTAACCCATATGGGTGAGTCAACAAATTTGTAAGCGCTCCATATGCACACCAGTGGTGGTTTTTATCATTAATTTCCAATACTGAGTGTACACCTAATCTTTTTTGTACTAATCTATAGGGTAGAGAGTCCCTATTTGTGTGGTAGCTGCTGTCATTCTATTCAATTATTAACTGAAAGCGCCTTGAAAACACACAAATTCTTATTTCTGTAATCTTTACCATGGTTTGTGCTAGTACCTAGCTGAAAAGAGTTCCAGGCACTCGACGATCAAGTGCCGCTGCCCACGTTCGGGAGACAAAGTGGCGGTCACTCTTTAGTTGACCACGTACATTCGGTTATACGAAATAGCGCCCACTCAGGGGAAGCATTCATTGATTACTTCCCTTGCAGTTTCACACTTAAGTTACTAGGTGAGAACATTCTAATGGGGAACCAGGGTGGTCCTCGTTCGGGAGCTGAATGCAGAGTGTTCGCATACTATAACACACAAATCAATACGAATTTGAGGGTAGATTCCACCACAAATATCAACATGCATTAGTGTTAAACTGTTAAACTTTTTGTCCTCTTTTTACAGGTCTACCCAAACGCTGGATTCGGCACCCCACAACTGACTCTGTGTGTATCTTTCTCCCCTACACAATCCCTTTTGTGTATCTTTTTCCCCCACATCTGATCTCTGTAATTCTATCTCTTCCACAGCCCCTATGTGTGTCTCTTTTTTCACCACATTTCCTTTTGTGTCTTTTTCTTCCACAGCCCCTCCATGTGTCTCATTTCCCCCAGCCCCTCCATGTGTCTCATTTCCCCCAGTCCCTCCATGTGTCTCATTACCACCCACCCCCTCCATGTGTCTCCCCTCTCCCCTACTGTACCTGCTCATCTCCCCTGTGTAGTGTGGCCAGGCAGACCATGATGGAGGATCTTCTGTATCCTCTATCTGGCTGACAGGAAGCTGTTTGTTGTTATTAGTGAGCACTTCCTGTTAGATTGATACTGAAGATCCTCCACCGTGGTCTGCCTGGCCATGGTACATGGTGTGACTGGCACAAGGGTAGCACTGTGCTGTGTGCTACGCTCCTGCCAGTCAACTGGCGATTGCACCCCTGGGCCGTTGCACCCTAGGAGACCGTGCACTGGCCCTGAAGGTATGTTGGCCCGTCTGGATATTGTCCCAGTATCCAACAGGGCAAGTTTGGCCCTGCCTTTACCTTAACAAGCTCTAACTCTATTTTTAACCCTCAATACACTCACTGTATTCACAGATTCAAACACAATACATAACAAGCAGAAATATGCACATACATACATTTACACATATGCAGCTATCATATATGAATATGTTTTTTTAGATGTGTTTAGGCCTGGAATGCCCAGTTAATAGATTAATTATGCTTACTTTATCTGCATTATTTTGAAATTGATACAGGGGGCGCCTTAGAATTGTGTACCGAGAGGAACCTGACAAGTAAATCCAGCCCTGGATACATATTACATAGTTACATAGCTGAAAAGAGACCTGCGTCCATTAAGTTCAGCCTTCCTCACATTTGTTTTTTGCTGTTGATCCAAAAGAAGGCAAAATATATATTGGGACACCCTGTATTACTCTACCTTTATTTGATCTTTTCAGTAACAAGTCCTCTGCAGGATAAAGGGATTAATTGTTTTTATGCTATAAAATAAAGAATGTTTATTTATCATCCTGAGACACCTTATGACACAGGTGGAAACTGTTTAAGCTGATTTAAATCAGGGCCTCGGGGAATTGATCATATACTGTGTATAGAACCCTATGTTTTGTAAGCACCTTATCAGGTTTCACCACATTCCTGAATTCTGTAATGCCTCTTCTGAGACCTGTCTGATTGCTGAGACAGGTGAACACTGTACACTCACCTTAAACAGTATGTGAAAGCTGGCAGTCCTTCTCTTTCATACCTCCCGTCCTGTCATGTTAGAACTGTCTTGATACATAAGCAAAATCTAATTTCTGAGGAACGAGGAAATGGTAAGCAGCTTGATTAATTGTACTGAACTATTTAAATGTTTAGGTTCATTTTTATCAGTCTGTCTATCCATCCATCTATCTATTGATTTCCATTTAATCTATTCCTCTGCATACAGAAAATATTTTTACTTACAATTTTCTTCTGCATGGAAAACTTCTCACTCAACCCTCTGTCCTTTTGCCACCATTTTAGAACAGATATGGAAGTTTTCAAATATGATTTACCATGAAAAAAAGTTATTTATTCCACCCTAAAGGTGAGATCTTTAAAATGCATTTATGTTAATTGTTTTAGAAATGTTTTTTTGCTGGAAAAAGACCACAATGAACTGGAAGAGTATTCAAGAGCTTTGGTTCTACACTGCAGGATCAGGATGGTTGGAGGAAGAAGCCAAAACAGGCCTTTTACACCAAAAAAGGTATCTTTTTATTTTATTATATTCGGGTTTAACTTAAAAGTCCACCAGCTCTCAGTTTTTATAGTATAAAATGAAAGCAATTATGTTGAATAATTTGAAGTTCACAATTGGTGCTAATTGTCGTGAAATAAAAGTAGCTTGGTGCTCAGAATCAGACAATCTGTTTGAATCCTTCAACTGTTTTTCTACTGGCACTTGAATTCAAGCAGAGGACTGGACATCCTCTTGTAAACTGCCTCTTGTAAGGCATCTTAGTATGAGAACAGGGAAGCTGGAATATAGACAAAGGGGCTTTTGGAATATAGACAAAAGGGCTTAAATAGGTAACTAAAGGTGTTTCAAGAGTCAGGGTTGGTGATGGAAGGGAAGACGACAAGGCACAAAATGAATGGTCAGGTTGGACAGTAAGAAAACCAAGGTCAGATAGTGTAATAGTACAATGCTTACTAAGACAGTAGAGCAAATCAATGGCTCAGGGAATGTCAGTTGTCAAGACACAATTACAAGTGCTCCAAAATTGAAGAATTCTACACATTGTATTTAAAAAGCTGCTGAGAGAATGACTTGTGGTAAAGTTAAACCCCTTAGTGACCGCAGACGTACTCGGCACGCCCGACAAAAATGGGTCCTTAAGGACTGCGGTCGTGCCCAGTATGTCCACAGCAATTCCTAATTACTTACCTGATCGCCGCTGTTCCCCCACCGGCGATCAGCGTTCCTCTCGTTGGGGTGGGGGGGGGGATGTCTGATGTCCGTAATAGGTGTCCATAGTACTGCCTGTTGGTGAAAAAAAGGTAAAAAAAAAAAGGTTTCATATAAAAAATAATGTTAATAAAATAAATAAATATATATATATATATAAATAAAAAATAGATATATATATGTAATTTTATTCTAACTGTATTTTGATATTAATATATATATATATGTATATATATATATTTATAACAAAATACACTAAGAATGAATTATATATATTCAACAATGTATATATAAATATATAAAAATAATAAAAAAATATAAATATATACATGATACACATGATTACATAAATAACTTAAAAAATATACACATAGACTTCAAATATATAAATATGTATATATATATTTAAATTATATGTGCATATTTATGTAATATTTTTACATAATTAAGTAATTTTATTCATTGCAATTTGAGGGACCTGCCTGACAACCCAGGCCGAAAGTCCAGAGAAATTAATTTGCTAGCACTGAATTTTACCCTGTAACTTTCCATGACACGCTAAAACCTGTACATGGGGGATACTATTTTACTCATGAGACTTTGCTGAACACAAATATTACTGTTTCAAAACAGTAAAACATATCACAGCGATGATATTGTCAGTGGAAGTCACATGTTTTGCATTTTCCACACACACACGGCATGTTCACTGATGATATTGTTGTGATACGTTTTACTGTTTTGAAACACTCATATTTGTGGTCAGCAAAGTCTCCTAAGTATAACAGTACCCCTAGGTGCAGGTTTTATATTGTTTTTGAAAGTTATAGGATCAAATATAAGGCTTGATTTTCCATTTTTTTCACATTGAATTCTGCCAGATTGGTTCTGTTGCCTTTGAGAGTGTATCGTAGCCCAGGAATGAGAATTACTCCCATGATGACATATCCTTTACAAAAGAAGACAACCCAAGTTATTGCAAATGTGCTATGTTCAATCTTTTTTAGTAGCCAATTAGTCACAAACACTGGCCAAAGTTAGCGTTCATAATTGTTTTTTGCATTTTTAACACACAAACAAATATAAATGCTAACTTTGGCCAGTGTTTGTGACTAAGTGGCTACTAAAAAGACTGGACATACCGCATATTGAATCCCCTGGTTGTCTACTTTAAAAAAATATGTACATGTGAGGTGTGATTCAGAGATTTATGACAGATAACAGTGATACAATGTCACTATTGATACATTTTAAAAATAGATATTTTGAAACAGCAGTAGAATGTGACGGCAGATAAGAACCATTCGGCCCTGGCCTTATTTTATTGTTAGGATAGCCTTATGCTTATCCCACACATGCTTAAACTGCTTAAACTCCTTTACTGTGTTAACCTCTATCACTTCAGCTGGAAGGCTATTCCACTACCCTCTCAGTAAAGTAATACTTCCTGATATTATTTTTAAACCTTTGCACCTCTAATTTAAGACCATGCCCTCTTGTTGTAGTAGTTTTTATTCTTTTAAATATAGTCTCCTCCTTTACTGTGTTGATTCCCTTTATGTATTTAAATGTTTCTATCATACCCCCCCTGCCTCCAAGCAATACATGTTAAGATCCTTTAACCTTTCCTTCAATCCATGAACCAGTTTAGTAGCCCTTCTCTGATATTTTTCTAAAGTATCAATATCCTTCTGGAGGTACGGTCTCCAGTACTGCGTACAATACTCCAAGTGAGGTCTCACCAGTGTTCTGTACAATGGCATGAGCACTTCCCTCTTTCTACTGCTAATACTTCTCCCTATACAACCAAGCATTCTTCTAGCATTTCCTGCTGCTCTATTACATTGTCTGCCTACCTTTACGTAATCTGAAATAATTACCCCTAAGTCCCTTTCCTCAGATGTTGAGGTTAGGACTCTATCAAATATTCTATACTCTGCCCATGGGTTTTTACATCCAAGATTCATTATCTTGCACTTATCCACATTAAATGTCAGCTGCCACAGCTCTGACCATTTTTCTAGTTAACCAAAATAATTTGCGATTTGGCTTTTTCCTCCTGGAACATCAACCCTGTTACATATCTTAGTATCATCAGCAAAAAGATATACCTTACCGTCAAGACATTCTGCATCATCACTAATAAACATATGAAAGAGAATGGGTCCAAGTACAGATCCCTGAGGTACCCCCTGGTAACTAGACCATGCTTCGAATATACTCTGTTGACAACAACCCTCTGTTGCCTCTCACTCAGCCACTGCCTTACCCATTCAACAATATTGGAATCCAAACTTAAAGATTAAAGTTTATTGATAGTTGTTATTATCTGTAACCTAAAATGTCACCATATACTGTGTCTATTTTCACATCTATGCTGGAATGTGTTATTTAGCTCATTACCTGGTCAATCTCCCATTACATTTTAAACTATAATTTACTCCATGAAAATGTTAATTCTTAAATGTGTTGTAGATAGAGGCACAATACCTGTCAAACTGCTTTTACACAGCTATTCCTTTTTTTGGAAATATTTTTTTCTGACTGTTTTTAATTTTAGTAAAAATATACTAATGTTTTGAATGCCAAATGAGAGAAAATTATAAATTTAAGTCCAGGGCTGCCCAGTATATTCAATGTTTTAGATGATTCTCTTGGGAGTGATAGTTTCCTAAATCATCATTGCAATGTTTAAGGGACACACTAAGCACTATAAACCATTTCATCTCATTGAATTGATGATAGTTCCTGGAAGCCTCGAGGTCTGACCCTGCCAGTGTTAAGGCATTTATGAGCAGGTTTACACTAAATAAGGGTCGCTGGCCACCCACAGCCCCACCCCTACTGAAGGCATGTCTACAGCAGAGATTACATACTTCGTTCTAGCCATACGAATTCATACCAGCAATGTGGGCTGGCCAAAGCAGTCAACTGATGCTCTCAGCCATTTATAGCCATTTGCCTATGCCTTAACCTAAGCAGCACAGAGAGGATGGGCTTTTGAGGATTCTAGTTTAGCATTACAATATTCAAAATTTAATGTTGAATAGAAGGAAAGCTCCAGGTGACTGCAGACACTATAACCACTTCAACCAGATGAAGCGGTTACAGTGCCTACAGTGTCCTTTTAAACCATTATATATTAGTTGGATATTAAAAATGCATTTATTTATCTTCTGCCTAGTTCCAGTCTTTCTATATCGCATAAAGTGAAATACCGTCTGATGCCAATTTTTGTTTTTGTGTTTTTTAGGACGCAAGAATTCCCACTGCTCCTTGCTGCTAAGGATAACAATGTTGAACTTCTGAGAGAGCTTTTAGCATCAGACAAATGTGATTTGTTCCAGAGAGGTGAGTAAAGCAACCCTTAAAAAAACAAAACAAAGTGGCAACATAGAATTTAAATAAAATATATTGAGATATACAGTTAATGATTAAGAATCAGTATAGACAGAAAGTGGCACGGACAGTTATTTACTAAAGTGCAAATTCAAAGTGAGTTTTAAATTTAAGGTCAGAGTAGCTGTACTGAACGCATAGCTGACTTAGATAATTTTTCCAGTTTGGCTAATTTGACATTATAGTCACCAGAGCAACTACAGCTTAATGTAGTTGTTGTGGTGAGCATAGTCAGTCCCTGCAGGCTTTTTCAGTAAACACTGTCTTTTCAAAGAAAAGATAGTGTTTACATTACAGACTAGGGACAACTCCAGTGGCCACTCCTCAGATGGCTAGTAGAGGTGCTCCCTGGGGCAGTGCTGCACAGTGTACAGTACTGACATTCAGTGTATCCACCCTCTGCATGGAGACACTGAACTCTCCTCATAGAAATGTATTGCTTTAGGGCTAGATAGTGGTTTTTAACACTAACAGATCAGGAATGTATGTTTGTGTTCTTGACTCTATAGTGTTCCTAAAAAATTCAATACTCACTTTGAACTCTCTTTAAAGTTTCATTTTGGTGAATAACTTGAGAGAAGGCAGTAAATACCAGGAAGAGCCATCTCGTATAATCAGTACATGTAAATGCCTTCCAGTGGAAGTAATACAGGCTAATACAGTAATTAAATTGGTGATTGTCTGATTCAGGCTGCTCTAAACTAAGAGTAACTATCATAACTAAGCATGCATGTAAACTGTATGTGTACATAATGGCTAAGTGTGACCACGACATGTGTATAGCTATCATGATTTTTGACCGGCTTCTTTTTATTACATCATCAGGAGCATTAGGAGAGACAGCATTACACATGGCGGCTCTCTATGATAATCAGGAAATTGCTGAAATTCTCTTAACCGAAGCTCCTTACCTGGTCAACCTTCCCATGACATCGGAAATGTACCGAGGTGGAACATGATGACTCTTCTTTATATCACATCACTATCATCTGTGTTCTTATGTAGTAATGAATTGTATTTTTGTTGCTTCATACTTGTCTGATGTATTCACTTACACTAGTATTCATTTATTCCACTAGCAGACTGACTTCCAATATCAGCACAAATGGGGGAAAAGAGTAATACAATAAACCATGCAATGGGTTTTCAAGTTTTTCATGCAGGATAACACTTATCTGAGGCTTTTAGATTTCCCATTTTTTCTGGGACTGAGCAAGTTAGGAAAAAAATATACTTCTGAAACCACCATTTGTTTTCCTTCCCCTGTAATTACAGCAATTATGAGATTTTTAAATAGGTATTTCTCACCAAGCATCACTGTGGATGATGGATTTTATTTTATTTTCCCCTTAATCTCATGAACAAAAATTAGGCAGACCATTATCTCTGAAATTTAGGAGAAATTCTGTGTTCGATAAACATCCCAGATTAATATGGTAAACAATTTTAAATGTAGAGTAACATGCATTCTTCTGTAACTAATAGTGTGTCTCTTTCCTTAACTGTGTAGATCATACACTGTACCCTTTTAAAATCGGGTTTCAAAAGTATTTCAATATAAGCTCTACCCCAAAAACTTTCTTATATTTGAAGAATATTAGTAAACTTATTTAATATTCTTTAGTAAGCTTTTCAATTGATTTAATATTTTGGATAAATGTTTAAAATTCTGTTTTCAGAATATAAGATATAAAAATGTATATAACATAAAAAAAAAACTATATAAAAAAATCTTTACAAAAAAATATTTTATAAATATTAAACCATGCTAAAAGTGTATCCAAAATGTGAATAAAAAAAAATGTTTTATCCAAAAATATTTAATATTTTTAAAAGCTTATACAAAAAAAAAGAAGGCCATAACTATTAAAATTATATTTATGATAATATTATCAGTGAAAACGATATTTTTAGTATATTTAAATAATATTATAACTATTGTGCCTTTTCTTTCAGGACAAACAGCCCTACACATTGCGGCTGTTAATCAGAACATGAACCTGGTCCGTATGCTGATACAGAGAGGGGCTGACGTATCCTCACCTAGAGCCACTGGGAGTTTTTTTACTCAGAATCCCCTACACCTCTTTTATTTTGGTAAGACAAGATCATTAAAATGCAAGAAAGAAATAGAAATTCACTGCAGTAGGAAATGTAGTCTACATGAAGCTACTTTTTGATCTACCCACCACTGAGTCACCTATTATTTTTATCATAATATATCAATCGGCACGTTACCAATTTAAAACATGAAGAACCCTGTGCTGAAATTAAATATAAATCACATTTTTGAAATAAATATATAATCTTTACCTCTGCAAAAAGACAAGTGTATGTGGCATCAAACCATCTACTCTAAGTCAGTATCTATCAAATCCCATGGATGTTTTACAAATTCTACAATAAATTCATGTTATTTAGTCAATAATATTGTATTAAATGAGAACATGCACTTAACACCGGATATATCTTTATAACCAATGATAACCACATATATATATTATAGAGATCAACTAATGATTGACAGCAATTATTTTCTAAGAATATTCTTGATCAACGGGCACAGTCCTAAAAGTACTTTGCAGAATCCAGGTGGGGAACAAACTATATTACTGGGATTAAAAGGACATTGCTTATTTAGATCCAATGTTTGTATCCTGAATTTTCCTTACTGTTTAAAAGATATAGTCTACCAACTTGTCTATCTGGCGTGTCTTAATATATTTATTGAAGTACCTGTGTTCATGTAGGTCCAATTAAAGACTGTTTGTAAGACAAATACAAAGCATGTGTTAACTTAAAACAATATAAAAACAAAAGTGTAAAACACAATGCAAAAACATGCACTATAGCTTTAAAACCACTCCTCTTATGTTGTTATTTTAAGTAATAAATACAGCCACTTACCTTAAGCCCTTAAGGACACAGCTTTAGAAGTAAAAGGCCAGCATGATGAAACATTTCCATCATGTATCCTTAAGGGGTTAATATTTTTCTATATACATTATTTCCAAAGACTCAAATTTGTTCCAATGTCATATACAAGAGTGTGAATGTTAAAATATAAAATAAAAAAAAAGAGGATATGTAGCATAAAACCTTTTTTATTACAAACACACAAACAATATATAATATAAACAAATAGTGTGTAGGCGCTTCACAATTTAAGTCAAAGAATTTTATCGTAGCTAGAATTGTTGGTAGGTAGTGTAACTGATATAGTGGTGCGTCCCAATAACACCAAATAAAGAAACCAAATAATATACACAGTATATTAGGTTTTATTTTAGTTGTATTTAGACTCTTGGTGACTAACTATAGTGGTAAGTGGAACTCCAGCCTTTTTTTATCATATTGTATTTGCATGCTGGGTTCCACCCCCATAGTACCTTGAGTTGTTTTATATTATATTTTCAATAAATTCTTTTTAACCTATTTGAAGTCCTTTTATCGTCTTCTGCCACCGCAATTGGAACCTTTAGCCTGTATTGGCACCCCTGAGCCTACTATACAGAGACTGGTATGGCTCTGGAAAACGTGAGTGGTAGTCCTACGTCTATTTCCAGCTTTATATTATTATACAGTTCACACTATGTTGTGCTTTATTTTTATATTTTAGGTACCATTCCATTGTATTTCGGCATATGGTGGTATTATCCAATTCTATATTTATTTTTTATTTGCACTGGGTTCTGTGTATATACTGATTACTGTGTATATTATTTGGTTACACAAACAATATATGTTGGTTTGATCAATCAGTTTTAAACCCACTTTGAGCACTTCAGTACCAAGTTCTGCATCTACAGTAGTCTCCGATAGTTGATGAGTTGTTATTTTGTGTTAAACTGTTAATAATATCCGTCTTGATTAAATATTATAGCCATTATGCAAAAATCCAAACACTAAACTTACTTTTAGAAGTTTCTATTGAACTTGCAACATTAAGCAGATAATTCATTTAGGCCCACAGCTTAGCAGCGATAGCTGTTGCGGGCTGCAGATTCCCATCCTCTAAGTGCTTCAGTGTGTAAATTGAGGATTGTCCCTCACCAACTTTTTGAACTAGTAGATATCTGAAGTTCCACTGGGACAACTGATAGGCAAGAGCCATTTTGACCCTAGTATCCTTGAGTGCCTTGCAAAGCCACCTCAAGTGCCATAATAATATACTGTTTTAAATGTCCAGATCCCAAAACTGGCTATCCATTAAGAGAATTAGTACGTATTATTTCTCTAAGTGAAAGGCCATCGCTCGGCTCAGAGCATCAGTTAATGCTCTCAGCCTACCACAGGCTACATGGGTAAACCTCTAAAAAATGTGGAAGCAGAGAGGGAAGGAATCCATAGGGAAGTGGTATTGGATGCTGGAGTCCTAACTTTAGGTTGCAAAACAATGTAACAACTGAAGGTAAGACTGTGTCCGTATGCATCAGCTCATATAACTTAAATGTGTTTGGGGTGGAAGTGCTGTTTTAAGTAAATAAAAAATTATATTAAAAAAAATGATATAAAAATTAAAAATAGCATATGGAAAGTATACCTTAATGAAATGTGCTGCACATGCATATACAGGGGACAAATAATATGAAGGGGTTAATGGTAAATTGAATATGAGGGCCTATATGATGGATGGTACTTGTACGTATAGTTAATATGGGGGTCTCCTGGTTTGATAAGTTATATATAAGGCAAATATTTCATGGAGGTATATTGCTGAAATTAGCTTTAAAAATAGATGTCATTGGTTTGTGTTTGTGCAATATTACTTGTGTAATCAAAGTACTATCCAAATTATCTCTTCCTTAAGGTGTTTTCTACACCATTATTGTCTAGTGCTTTAAAATATATTTTCATAAAAAAATGTGTTTTAAAAATCAACATTTTCTTCCCTCAGGGGAGCACATTTTAACATTTGCTGCTTGTGTGGGGAATTTTGACCTGGTGAAGTTGCTGGTAGCCAATGGAGCCAACTTGCGTGCTCAGGACTGTGTAGGTACGAACGATAGGAAATTCTGCTCTTTGGTTCTATGAATTAAACTCCATTTAATAAATTGCACATTTGTTAATGAGTTTCTCCTTACAGGAAATACTGTGCTTCACATTTTGGTCCTGCAGCCCAATAAAGTCATCTCCTACCAAATGTTTGATCTCCTCATGTTGCTCGATGGTGATCAGAGATACCCTCGACTGAATCAGATTGAGAATAGCCAAGGTCTCACGCCCTTAAAGCTGGCAGCATCTGAAGGGAATGTAATGGTGAGATGGAAGTTCCAATTAGTGAGATCTCTGCTGTCCCTAAGCCTAAAACTTGATTATATAACTGTGAAAACATATAGAATGGGAATTTTAAAGAACAGATAGTATGTATGGAGACAAGCTGTGTCAGCCATTTATTACAGGTAACAGGTAACAAAGACCCATGGAGGCAAGATTCACATATAAGGCTCCAGCATATATTTTACATAGGCTTTCCCATTCATGAAGATGAGTATAAGTATGAAAATATGAATGAAGCTTTATGATAAATTAATAAAAACAGCTCCAAAAATTAGTTTGATCATATTCATGTGTGAAGCTGCTTATTGCTAACTCATGTTATTTCATGTTATCTCATCTGTCATGTGCTGTTTAGCCTCCAAAAGAAAAGCTGACAGCTGAACTTCATACACATAACATTTGCCCTGATTGTGTCATTCTTCCAATGAAAGCAAGAGAAGGTACAGGATTGGCTAATAACTCTCAATCACTTCCTGATCTCTGTTGATTCTGAGAATTTGTAGCAAATGATGGACATTATTTTCTGGGTACCTTCTTTTATATTTAAATGTATTATTTCCATAATGCATTATACTTTTAGTTTATTGAAGCTCACATCCCTTAAATCAATTTATATGTTGTAAGGACTGTTGTTTGTTTCAATATCTAAAAGTGGCTCAAGTATGTATACTAGTGAACTCCAGTATTGAGGAACAAAAAGCTGAAAAAATAAAACTGCTCAATCAACAATTATATTTTTAAATTGCACTTAGTTTTTTTCTGAAAAACATAGTAACATAGGGCTTAATTAACTAACCAGTGTAAAGGTTGGAACTAAGTTATGAGATGGCATAGTTTGCTATGTTTACTGCATATTGTGACCAGTTGTTCACACATATCGAGCACTGTGGATTTCAGTACCCATACATGTCAATAATTATATCCCTCTTTTTTATCTCCTCCAGATGTTTCAGCACCTACTGCAGAAACATGTTAAAACGGTGAGGTCAATGGGTCTGACCTCATACACCTTGTATGATTTAACAGAGATTGATTCTTGGGGTACACCCTGTTCTGTGCTCCATCTGCTGGTGTCTTCAAGAAAAGCAGAGGTAATTAAGAATATTCAATTTTCTTTTCTTAATTAAGCTCTACAGGATGTATTCACTAAACAGAAATTAACAGAAAAAAAATATTGATAGAGTGGTTGAAGTTATGAACTTTCAGTTCACTAATATTACTTGTTAAATGAATACATCCACACGTTTTCTGCAATCTCCTTATGTATAAACCCTCCCCCCTCATTTGTTTTTATTATACACACCAATTTATTTTTCTCCTGGTTATATTTTTGTGCTAGGCACGACGTATCTTAGACCTTTCTCCGGTAAAAGATCTGGTAAATGAGAAATGGCAAATCTTTGGCCGTCCCTACTTCTGCTTCCTGGCTACCGTGTATGTGCTGTATATGATATGTGTATCTTGGTGTTGCGCCAACAGACCACTCCAACCTGTACAAAATGTATCAACAAACCCAAGGGACTTTACCATGCTAGAACAAGTCGCTCTTCTGGTAGGACAGCAATATAGTGTTCTACCCCTTTTGTGTACTTTACATATTGCTTAGTGATAGTACAATATATGATATAATTCTTATATATATATATATATATATATATATATATATTAGCGTGTAGAACAAAGACTATACTAATCACTTGTAAATATATATATGGTCCACAAGGGGACTGGAACATCAACATGGATCATTTATTTTTTTATTACTATGTAACAATAAAATAACATTGTATATTCCAAAGAAAAATCTTGTGAGTACTCTCTTGGTTGCAAAATGATATGATAACATAGTTATGTGTTATTCTTTCTTTAGGATTCTTACAACACTCCACTGGATAAAGTAAGGTTAGTCGGAGAGTTGATCTCAGTAATTGGAGCTATGGCCATGCTCCTTGTAGAGGTAACTATAGATATGTTTTAATGGATGGCTACATGCGATTAGACTGGATATATGTTGAATCCATGGATGGTTAGAATTTTGCACAAGATGGATGGACAGAGGTTTGAGGAGAGTAGATGGGCAATGAGAATGACAGAGGGTGGTTAGACGATGACTGTCATAGGGGAAAGATTAGGGAAAAGATGAGAATGGCAGTCAGTGAGTAAACACAATGACTGTGATGGGAAATGGCTCAAATATAGGCATGATAGACTGGTTCAATAATGGGCAAAAAGATTAAAAGATTGACTATGATCACTGGGAGTGGATGGACAGTGGTGATGATCAAGACAGGATGGACAATGGGTATAATAGAAGTGGATTTTCCAATAGGACGAGAGTAAATGTGTGGTCCGTGTGTATAAGTAAATAATACTCTTAAGGAGAGGTTTTTGAAGAGTGCTTGAACTATAAGAAAATAAGAATATTCAGTCTTGCAATATATGTATGCAATTCACATGTAATAAATATTATGTATAAACTGTCATTTAAGCATTCAGGATTAACCATTTAAATCTAATTTCTTTTACAGATCCAAGTCTTAATGAGCGCTCGGAATATTTCCTTTTTTTTTACAGATATGGTTTCAGCTGGATATTTCAATCTCATTCTGTGCGTACCAAGTATCCTGTATTGTCATTTTTCTCCCTACACCCTTACTATTTCCTTCTAAGATTCTATTAATAATTGATACACATTTTATACATCAACAGTTTAAAGGATTACTTTCTGCAAGCAGTCAAATTTGCTTGGTTTGCATAATTATTCCCTCTCTATTTTTGTCCATTAATGATTTGACAGCAATAAGTCCTAATGGCACAAAGAGAAATAAGGACAAGTTATGGAATACATTAGTAGAAGAGGTGCAAATTATTCAACATGACTTTCCCTACTAGATAAGCATTTTGAATGATGACAGGTGCACTTTATTTAGCTAACTTGGAATAATGGACAGTAACATAGAATAAATATTTAAAATAACCCATATTTTATATTTTACGTATGTTGTTTAATCAGTGATAGAATTGATAAGTTCTGTTAAAACTCACCCCTGCAATATCCATTTTGCTTAAGCAAATGGCACTTAAAAATGGTACTTAATGGTACTTAAATCCTTTGACCCATTGTTTGCTGATAACATATCCATTTTGGGTTGTAGTGAAGGGATAATATTGCTTCTTATATATAAATGTAAGTCCTCAATCCCACATTCTATGAACTCTCATTGATCAATACGTTGTGCAATCCTCATCATATTCTGGTGTCTCCCGTCCTTGCAGCATGGCTTACTCCTGCATGGTTCTGCTAACTTTGGTCCTGAGGCTAACACATTCCAATGGGGAGCTGATCCCCATGTCTATCGCCCTGGTGCTTGGCTGGTGTTACATGATATATTTTGCAAGAGGATTTCAGATGGTAGGACCATTTACTGTGATGCTACACAAAGTGAGTAGTGTTTTTTTTAGAATAGTTTCAATATTAATCATCCCTGATCATACGAAGTGAGCATATATGTATATTTATTAGACCTGGAGAATCAGATTGGTCAGAATCAAAATTCCACAGTAGAGTGGTGTATTAGAGCATTTATTCCTATTTAGAAAGTAACAGGAGCCCTTATAACCGCTTACAAATTACTTGATACGCATAGTCCACTCAGTGGCCTGCCCTGTGATTCAATAGAACTTTATTATGAATAAAGAAAAGCAGATGTAGCTTTGTCATAATCCAGATTTTTTTTTTCTAGATAATGTTTGGAGATCTTGTGAGATTTTTCTGGCTAATGATGGTAATCATTGTAGGATTTGGTTCTGGTAAGAATGAATTATTGATTTATTGAACTACAAAATGTATCCATAAATAAATAAGCCAAAATGTATTTACCTCATATTCAGTTCACCGCTGGCCAAAAGATAATACACTTTAGGGATGTGCATGGGCAAAAAATTTGGTTCGGTTTGGCACTTCCGTAAATTTGGGACTTCAGCAATTCAGCACTTAGGTTCAGTTCGACATTTCCTAAATTCGGGACTTCGTTAATTGGGGACCTAGGCAATTCGGCACTTTGGCACTTCGGTTCGGCACTTCCGAAATTCGGGACGTCAGCATTTCAGGACTTTGGCACTTTGGGACTTCAGCAATTCCCTAACCTTTAACCCTACCCCATCCCTACCCCTAACCCTACACCATACCCTACCCCTAACCCTACACCTACTCCTAACCCTACCCCTAACCACCACAACCACTTACACATCTAGGGGTAGGGGTAGGGGTAGAGTTAGATGTAGGGTTAGGGGTAGGGTTAGGGTCATGGGTAAGGTTAGGGGTAGGGTTAGGGTTATATTCCTGTCATCATTCACATGATTTTCCCTCCCTCTCGTGTTTTGCCACTTTTCAGAAATCCAAAGCACTTCGGCACTTCTGAAATTTGGCACTTCTGTTCAGTTCGGCACTTCCGAATTTCGGCACTTTGACAATTTGGCACTTCGGTGGTTTGGTTCTACACTTCTGAAATTCAGCACTTCGGCAATTCGGACATTTGGAAGCATCCGAATGTCCAAATTGCTGAAATTCGGCTGAATTTGCATTCAGAACGAACGGATTTCACATGTCTAATATACTTTTTTTTGCACCATGACTAGTTCATTTTTAAAGCAGATGACTGTTGGATGGGATGCAGATGTGTCCTGACCATATGTACAGATTTCTTTTGTGCAAAATATGGAAACAGATATAGGAAATTTTATTTTTCTATTATCTATATTTGATAGACATTCAATTAAGGCAAACTATTGGGGTTTCTGTGAGCTATTGCCTGTTTCCAGTGTTCTCGTACTCTCTGTTTTTGTTGCAATTTGTTTGGTAAGGTTTTCCCTAAGTTAAAAGTGTAATCCAAGTGTGAACCCCATGCTCTTTGTACTTAGAGGGGTATCAGCTATGCCTGGTCCAAAGAAGTCTGAAATTATATTCGGGTTGCTCTGTATTGATTTGTATGACAGAGCTATAGGATTTTGAAATTTGACAATATTGAGAGTTCCAGAGAAACCTTTCGATATTTTGAATTTGTCTCCAACAGTTCATGATAAACATCTCTACTCTATGTCCAGGAGAACCACTATTCAGTGAATATTTATATTTGTGTCTCCTAAGTTTGTTACAGCACTAAAGCGGGAGAATGGACTAAATGTAATTTAAATGTAGCCTAAATCCACATGGGTTCAGTGAACTCCCCTGCTACCCCTCTTGTCTACAACCTTCTATTTAATTTTCCTCTTAACTATCCATCTCAGTCCACTCTGTTTCTCTATTCCATCCTCTCTGCCCCTATATCACCTCACTCACAATCCTCTTCTCATCCATCATATTACTGCCACTCTTCCCCACATTTTGTATCTCTCCCCAATTCTCCCATAAAGTCTCCCCCTCTCCCTAGTCCATTTTTTTTTATTGACATGCTCTCGCTACCTCTTTCAGACTTACTTCATCCATAATCTCCCCTTGTTCTTTTTGACCTTTTTCTTCTACTGTATTCCAAATAGTAAGTTAACTCTTAATTAACTCCTACAAATATGTAGGAATATGTGTGTGTGTGTGTGTGTGGTTTATGTCCAATTACCAATCTAATATGTTTTTTTTTATTATTTCATTTCAGCTTTATGTGTGATCTTCCAAACAGAGGATCCCAAAAAGATGGGGATATTTTACAACTATCAAATGTCTCTTTACAGCACATACCAGCTATTTATCAACACTATAAACTCCCCAGCAAACTATGATGTGGATCTGCCATTCATGTTTAATTTCATTTATTTTCCCTTCACGCTCATTGCAAACCTTTTAATGATGAATTTGCTAATTGCGATGATGGGGGATACATTCTGGAGAGTTGCCCAAGAGAGGGACGAGTTGTGGAGAGCGCAGGTCAGTTCTAATTAATTAAATGTGTGCTCATCCAAATTCATAATAGTCAGTCAAAAACACAGGTTGATTTTTAATCATTACAAATCTATTCAAGAACATGTAGATAAAGGTACCCAACTTTAACAGCATTTACGTTTGTAAATTTAAATAGTAACCTCTCAATATTTACCCTTGTGAGACAAACAAAACTGTTAATATAATAATATGTTCTAGTTAATAAAATCTAAAACAGAAATTAGACTGGCCTAAATTATCTGATAGTCGAATGGAATTTGTCTTCACAGGAGTGAAATAAGTCCGTATTAGAACACATTTTTATACATGTGAAATCTGGCAGACAGGGTATATGATATAAACTCAAAATGACACATTTGGAAGGTTGACCATTGTTTGCACAATTCTGAAACTGCATTATGTTTCATGTAAGAGTGCATTACAACTCTGTTCATAACGGTGACATTTTAAATGCTTCTATTAGTTTTAGACCCCTCAAAAAATATTGACGCTGAACACAGCAAGGTATTCTTTTCATGCTGCAATAGTAACCTTCCATGCCCTTATATATATATATGTATTTATACACAAACACACAGTGGTGGAGCTAATATCTACCCTAATATCGATGGTAAGTAATAGATGAAAATCTATGATAAAATAAGAAATGGAATAATGGTGCAGATTTTTTCTTAAAATATATAGTAAAGTGCACAAGTAAAGAATATACACTCACAGGGGAAGTGCCAGAAGATCACTTGCCTCTAGTGTGGAGCACCTTTTGATCCTCAGGGAGATCTGCAACCCTCTTCCATATCTATGAATAATGCAGATGGGAGTCAGAGAGTCTTCATATGTAAAAGCAGGATTCCACAACACGTCAAAGTACTCCAAATGTATTAAGTAAAGACATTTGTAAAAACAATTACACACAATGAAATAAAAGTAAAATTGGGTGTGTTCCACAGAGAAGATGTAAGTAACGCAATTGGTAGAACACAAGTTGCATTCCACAAACAAAAGGAAATGACATACGGATGCAAAACAATGGAGTGTAGCGTGTGTCCCAGGAGACGGGATGTGCGCTCCAAGGGACATAACGTGACGCTCTGAAGAACCCCCAAATGCTGGTATTTTATGAATTATTAAAGGGTTTATAAGAATTGTGACAAAAGAAGCTTATTATACACCAATTGAGGAAGCCAGTGTATGGCAAAATGCATTTTTGTTTTTATTGTATTGTGTGTCATTGTTTTTACAAATGTCTTTACTTAATAAATTTGGAGTACTTTGACATTTTGTGGAATCCTGTTTTCACCTATGGAGACTCTCTAACTCCCTCTGCATTATTCAAATATATGGAAGAGGGCTGTGGGTCCCACTAAGGATTCAAAGGTGCTGCACACCAGAGCCAAGTGATCTTTTGGCACTTCCCTTGTGAGTGTATATTCCTTACTTAGACACTTTATTATATACTTTAAGAAATAACCTGCACCATTATTCCATTTCTTATTATATTATAGATTTTCATCTGTTACTTACCATCAATATGAAGGTAGATATCATCTCCACCCACTATCCTTTCCCACTTCTATTTGCTGTACATAAAGTGTTTGGCATTTGATATATGTATTTATGTTTGTGCACTATGCCTACATTTTAGTATTCTTATGAAATTTTTTTTACGAAAACAAATACCAGAAATGTTATGAGATTCTATTCAAACTAGTGATCATAATCAGTGCATTTAACCATGTATATTTTTGCTGTGACAAAAGTTGCATTTTAGCTTCTGTGCTGATATTTTAGAACACTGTACCAAAACATTGCAAGCTATCAGAAGCCACAAACCTTTCCTTGAATACTCTCCCAATATTTCTAAATGGACAAATGAATATAATTTAAATTGTGTAAATATATTTCTTTTGCTATTATGCACCACATTTTGGCTCAGTCCTAGACGTATGTGCGGTCTATCTGTGCATTATATATTATAAATAGAGATAATATACATTTTAATGAGAAGAAACCAGTAAAAATTATTGGTAAGTTGAATGGCTAACAGTCACCACAATACCAATCTATAAACAATGTCACTCAATAATCTAAACATTTTTGATAAATCTTATACTACAACACCATTCTGTTACAAAACTTTCTCTCCCGATCAGATTGCAGCACTTACAGTGACTCTGGAAAGCAAAGTCCCGAGATATTTCTGGCCTCGCCTTGGTGTTTGTGGCTTGAAGTATGGTCTTGGGAACAAGTGGTATTTATGGTAAGTAATCCTCTGCTAGTTCATCTGGGTTTGTTAATCTCGTAATAGGTTAAGTTGTGAACATTGTATTTGTCTTCTAAAAGAATTTATTTTTTTAGTTTTCACTGATCTTCTATGGAATAGCAAGCAAGCATATGCAGCACAGTTTTACAGGAAACATCTTCAAAAGTGGACCAATATGCAAGAACATTTCCATAGAGATAGACTTGATTTTAGTAAATAGTATCATAGGACTTGAAGTTATGTTAGAGCAATTCTGAGACAAAACTACTTAATAAGGAGCAATCAGCAAGAGCATTCCATTATATCCGCATTACTAACGCCATTCTCTTTTAGTGTCGAAGAAACGCACGATACACACAAAGTAACTGCAGTATCATCACACAAAATTCAAAGTACAGAGAAGAGTTCTGGAAAAGAAATCCCTAATATTCAAATCTCAGCTGTAAATTGTCACCAGGAAAATGAACCCAATGTAGAAGCACTGGCAGAGAGGAGATCAAGTAGAGCCTGGCAAATTGTCCGAGGTGCCACCATAGGCCAGCTAAAGGGAACTGATGCACTTCCAAGAGGAACAGAACAGGAAGTCTTCTACATTTAATCTATAAAATGTCTGTGACTTAAGAGACTATGGGGATTTCACTATATAGCTTATAGTTAGGGTTATTGATGATGGTCATCATGGGGAGAAATACATATTAATTAAAAATATTAAAAAAATTTAAATTATCCAGTGTGGTATGTTTACACCAGAAGTCACACAGCCTCCATGAAAACATTGTTAATTTTCAATCAAATTTTAAAGCACAATGTGTTTATGTTTATCGCCTGCTCTGTAAATTGAACTTTGATTACACACAAGAGGCTTCTGCAGGATCTAGAAGGCTATTAACAGAGGAATTTCTAAATAAAAACACACTGTACAATAACGGAAGTTTAAACATCAGATGTCTTGTTTCAGGAAGTGTTTAGGAGGCTGTGTGAGTCTCAACCAGGGGAAGTGGGGCTAGAGCTGCAAAAACAAAGTGATTAAATTTCTAAATGGCAGAGAATTGAATAGTGAAACTGCAGTGCCACAATCTATACACCAAAACAACTTCATTAAACTATAGGATATACCTCCAGCCAGGGCCAGACTGGCCCACTGGGATACCGGTGATACCTGAGGGCTGCGCTGCCACATAGGTGCCACCGGGTGGCCGGTCCGGTGGCACACTCAGAGGGGCCGGCCGCATTCCAGGCTGGAGCCGCCGGGCCGGGTGGCAGCTTCGCCGGTCCGGCGGCACTCCTGACACTGCTGTGGCTGATGGCTGAAGGAGGAGGAGCATGTCTCTGTACCATGCTCCCTCGCGGTTCCCACAATTCCCAGCACAGGAACCGGGAGGGAGCATGGTACAGAGACATGCTCCTCTTCCTTCAGCCATCAGCAACAGCAGCCAGTGACAGGAATGCCGCCGGACCGGTGAAGCTGCCACACGGCCCGGCGGCTCCAGCCTGGAACGCGGCTGGCCCCCTGATTTCTCTAGGTAAAGGGGGTGGAATGAAACAGAGAGGGGGATAGAGGGAGGAGGGAGGAGGGGAGAGACACAGGGAAAGGGGGG